AGGCTTCTATAATTACTACAAAAAATTTGCAAGGAAAAAAAGAAAAGTGTAACCATACACACTGACTATTTTGAAGAGCTTCAAACTGAAAGTAACATTGGAATTCTGTATTCCTTCAAGAAAATAGACTCTTACTCATTAACTTCTAGTCTTTGATGTTGGTAGATAACATTTAGAAGAATTTTTAATGGCTGGGACTCAAGCTTGACTTTTCATTTGCATTTCAGACTAGAGCAAATCAAACAAACCAGAATGAAGTTTGAATAAGCTTCTACTCACTCCAATCAGTGCGGGATAGCCCCTGCAATCTAATGTATGTCTAGGCTTTGCCTCTTGAAATTTTTCTTCTGGGGGTGAGGAAAGAGGAGAATTTGTCTATAATTTACAGTTAACAGAGTCTATAATTAATAATTAACAGAGCAGCAGTGAGCCTCTAAAAGGTGCTTTTATCTTAAAGTAATAATCAATACAAGGTCATTTCTGAAGGATAAAGCGGCAGTTTGGCTTGGGTGGGTTTTTTTTGTGGATTTGGGTTTCTTTGCATATAACGAAATATGGTAACTGGTGCCTCTTATTATGCCTACAATGTAACTCTCTCTGGAACCTTGATTTATTGTTTTGGATTTGTAGCTGGTGAAAAGGAAGTTAAAAATAATTTCCAAAACCTGATCTCTAGCAGATGAACATCTTGCAGAAAAACAGTCAGGTATGTTCTAATGCACCAATATTTGGGTCTTCTTCTGGGTGTTGCATTATGAGTCTGTTTAAAATACTCCACCTCTTTAACATTTTGACTATGTTGGCATTTCCCTATAGTTGCCAGAATGGTGCCTGACTGAAAATTAGTCATCCTGTATTTGTGCAAATATGCAGTGCTTGTCTGGAGACCTGTGTGGAATGGTTGAATGTGCCATGGGCTGGTTATTAGTTTGTATGACTGCTGTGTACAGAACCATACACTGAGCTATTTCTGGCTGTGTTTTGGGGAGTTTGAGCTGAATTCTGTTTATTGACCCTAATGTGTGTGTGTTTTCTTCCTTTGTGGAAAGAGAATAGGACTTTTGAATTGGTCACGACAACAGAAACAATGAAAGTTGTTGTCTCTTTGTTGAGAAAAGTAACTCCCTAACTTGAAATCATGTGTGCCAAGTTACCTTCACTGCCATTGTGAGAGCAGCAGCAAAAAGTTCACATAGTTAATAACTGGACTTTTATGGGTAAAGTACATACCTTTCTCCTAGAAAGAAGTAGTACCCTATCTGGCTTCACTCAAGCATCAGCAAGAGTTTTAGAATCACAGAATGGCCTGGGTTGGAGGGGTTGTGATAAGGCACGAAATGATGACACAGACACTGCTGCTCTCGAGGGGAACAAAAAAGAAAAAAACCTTTATTTTCTGACTCCAACATTTATAGTTTTCCAAAGGTGACAGTGGATTGGAGGGTCACCGTGCCACCTCCCCAATGCCCCTGGACAGACCAAGGGGCCATCAATTCTCTCCACCTCCATGAAAGAATGCAAAACATAGGTTATTTACAGAACTGTGTGTGAGAAAGTTTGTTGAAAGAATGCAAACATCAGAAGGCTTAACAAAGTCTTACAAAATCAGAGCGACATTGGAGGGACCTTAAAGATCATCTCGTTCCAACCCCTCTGCCATGAGCAGGGAGGACACCTTCCACTAGACCAAGGTTGCTGAGAGCCCCATCTCCAACCTGGCCTTGAAACACTTCCGTGGATGGGCCATCCACACTTCTCTGGGCAACTTGTACCAGTGTCTCATCATTCTTACAGTAAAGAATTTCTCAATACCTAATCTAAACCTATTTTCTTTCATTTTAATACCATTCCTCCCATGCCCTGATGAAAAGTCCCTTCCCAGGTCTTGTAAGCCCCCTGTAAGTACTGGAAGATGCTATAAAGTCTCCTCAGAGCCTTCTCTTCTCCAGGCTGAACAGCCCCAACTCTCTCAGCCTGCCAAATTTCTTTAGTGTTTGAAAAATGCTGAAGAGCACTTGTTTTTCTGCCTTTCTTCCTCTCCTCCTTATGAAGTGGAAGGACTTGCACTCCTGTTACTTCATGGGAGATATATTAATTCATCATAGGCTTTTCTATATGAACAGGTTTACAGGGTTGTGTTGCCAAATTGATAATACCAGAGGAAGGTGTAAAAGCATAAGGGAAACATGAAATTGAATGTCTTAGTTAAAGGTGCAAACTGCAGATGTGAGCAAACTGCAAAGCTATTCAAACTGTGAAGGAAATTAGGAGCACTGAATTCATTGGGAGCTGAAGATGTTAAATAAGCACCTTGAGTAGAAAGGATGCTGTCAGACACTGGGGATGGGGCTTGGCTGCTGGGGAACCATGTGATGCTCCAAAGCTAGTTGTTTTTAGGGGGCACAGTATAGAGTTGAATGGGCTTATAAATATGAGCACTTCAGCCATGTGCCTCAAAAGAACATCACTTCAACCTGTACCTGTTATAAATAAAGGAGATTAAAAGGGAGAAGTTGAAGAACTTTGTTCAAGTGCTTAGCTATCTGGAAGCAGCCAAGTGAATCAGACTTGTCTTGCAAAAAGAATGGTGTAGTAAGTCAGTCTTGTAGGCTCTCATGAGCATCTGTCTCTGAATCTGCATATATGCCATCATGAAATTGCAGAACAGGGTTTGTAAGAACAGTCTAAGATTTTGGTTAGTAAGGCTTAAGGTTGAAGGCAGCTCCTTGTCTTCAGAGACTGCTTTCTTTTTAAAAGCTGAGGGCTTAGTTTCCCCTGCCACAGCCCTGTGGTGACTGGCAGCACCTCAGGCTGATCTGTGAACTTAAAACACATTTGATCTATATGCTGGTGCTTACTGCCAGGTCCTGCCACTCCACCTGAATAACTATAACATGCTCATAAATCAGGGAAGAGCATTCCTCGCTGACACCATCCCAAATGCCCTACTGAGCTGAAGCCTGTGTTAGCCATCAATGCCTCTTACATAAACATGTCATACTTTAAAGTAGGGTCTTGCAAAAAGCACAAACAATATGCTGGTATGGAGGGGCCACACAAAGTCAAGAGCTGTTAAGTGGGGGGAAGAGGAGGAGAAGAATCTCTTGATGATAAATATATCTACCAGACACATATGGAAAGAAAATAGTTAAGTCTAGCTTACATTTTTTTTCAAAATGAAATAGTCAGATGTGGAAATGATTGTCATATTCCCTGGGAACTTGGAAGCTAGGAGCCACAGGAAAATAATGATGCATGATACTTTGGCTTTTGAAGAGCTTCATTGATACTTTGGCAGGATGAAGAGCTTCAGCCTGCTCTTCATCCCACACCTCATGCATCAGATACCCAGTAGTCTGTGTATCTGATTAGGTAGCAAAAAAACCTCAGTTGCATTTGATTTGCTATAGAAAGCTGAGTAAGAACAATGTGTGTGTACATTCAAAACCACTTCCTCAGCCTTGTTTAAAGTCACCCACCAACATTGTGGCTGCTAGTTCCTGTCTCCCAGACCTCCATCCTCACACAAGCTGATGCCAGTTTTGGGCACTGTAAGAGAAATGTTAAGGAGCGTCCCAGGCACACCTTTGTTATAGTACACAGCTGAGCGACTTGTAAACCTCGTGTGTTTGTGTTGGTACAGCCTTTGATGTGGATTGGTAAGGAGGGAGCTCTCCACCACAGCAGCTGGAACACACACAGCCAGAAGTGACACCAGGCTGTAAAGAGCGTCTGCGGCCGCCCCTGTCAGATGGCTCACAAATCAGGGGGCTGACAGGTGCCTCTGCTGGACCCTGCACCGGGGTGTGCCTTGGTGTGCAGCAGCAGGTAGGAAACCTGCGTGGTGGGTGGCCAGATTGTACAAATGACTCAAATTCTCCGCTCAGGGGCAGCTGGGTGCACAGCTTCGTGCAGAATTAGGAGCATTTGCTTTTCCTTAAACTGGGATGAGTCCTGTTTATGCTCTGACTTCAGATTGGGTTCAATTCCACGCTCTTTAATAGTCATGATAACCTTAATGTTAATTTGTAGCACTAAGGCAAGAGGTTTTTGTGCAACACAAAACTGAGCCTGCAGTTCCCCAATTGCTCCTACTGAAGGGGTTGGGCCCTCAGCACCCATGTTGCTTTCCCAAGGAGGGAGATCCAACATGCAAGAGGGAGATGTAAGTGCTCACATCCTGGAAGGGCTTCAGGGTGTTTGGGCATGGACTTTTCTTATGGAATATCTGTTCTATCCCTGTGAGTAATTTCTAGCTGATTAGGATGATTGATGAGTATTACTCTGCTGTGTTAGCATTTGTGATGGTTGATGATCTTCCAAAAATGCATTTGGGAGACTTGACACAATTTTGTTCTACTGCCTGCTTAGAATTGTTTTTTACTGCCTTACCCATATACGTTAATTCTTGAGGTGCCCTTACCCCTTCACCACCTCCTTCTATGTATAATTTAAGGTCGTTAGGGATTGATACAAAGCAACCAGCCTGTAGTGGATTGTTTTGTCATCCTAACACCTCGTTGGTGTTAACTGGCAGCAGGTCTCACCTTATGTAGGCACTGTAGTGCCTTGTGACAGGTCTGTGCTTTTACATCCCAGCCTTCAGAGAAGCAGGCAAGCTTTTGGTCAGGGGCAATAGCTTTTACATGACTTTTTTTAGAACCAGAAGCAAAGGCTGAGGCAGCAGCTCTGAACACGCGCTGGCCTCGGGAGAGGCTCCTCGCTGCTGTGCAGCTGTTGTGAGAGCTGGGCAGGACATGGGGCTCCAAAGCCGAGTGCCACATGTGCTTAGGCAGCCCCTGGCAATCCTGCCCGAAGTCAACTTCTGTTTAGGTGGTGGTGGTTTTTTTCTTTTTCCAGGCAGTCACTTGATAGGGTATAATCCTGTAAGATACTCAGCAAAGAAGCTGATACGGGAGAGTATTTCTGCAGATGCTTAATTTTCAGTGAATAAGTGGTCCTTTTATGTGGGTGGGAGCACTCATGTGCTTAAAGTTAAGCACATGCTTAAGTGCTTTCTTGGACTGGGGCCAAAATGCTAATGTGATGGAGATTCCCTTTCTCAAGTAACTGCAGTGTTCAGGACTTCATGTGGACCCCTGGGCCTGCAGGATTACTGAAATACACCCATGACTGGTGAATATTGGATGGTTTGGTTCTTAAACTTTTCATTTTCAGCAAAACCTTCATGCAGTGTTGCTATATTATGAGTTTTATACTTTGCATAAAAAGAATAGTTCTTTACTAGGCTGGTGACAGACTTGAAAAGAAACCCTATTGCTGACCTTAAATTGATTTTCTTATGAGGACATTTTATGTTTTCTGTTTGAGGAAAAAACAAGGATTCCTTCAGCACCTTTTGCTTTGACCCCACTGCCTTATCTTTAAACTGTTCCTACAACACTTTTGGAAGAAAATCAGCCTTTGATGGGCACCACTAAGATGTTGAATTCCAACTGCTGGCAGTCCGATGTAGTCTGCTTTGATGACAGCAGTGGTAACAAGCCCAAAGCACACGTGTGTGGGATGTGACAGCGGTGTGCACCTGTCTCGGGCAGGGGGCACCGGGTCTTCCCCGTGGCAGCCTCCTCGGTGGCTGTGCTAATCACCGGCAGTGACACGGGAGTGACACTCGCCGCGCCCGGCTCACAGGAGCGAGCAGGGCGTTGGGGCTCTAAGTACACAGCTGCTTCTCAAATTATGATGCACAGGGTCAGAGGTCACTGCAGAAAAAGCAGATAAAATTATGCTTCCTACTGCCACCATGCCACATCAAAATGGTAAATTGTTTGTTTTATAGTGGGTCTGTCAAGCTGTTCTGCTGTAGCAGACACGTGAATTTCTCAGCTCGCTTGTAGCACTTTAACAATAAAGGGGTTTGTTTTCTAAATATTGTGCTAGAGATTTCTTTCTGTTAATTGTTGTTCTTTGACTGCTGCTATAAAATAGAAGTTTTTAGACATTTTTAAAGTGTTTCCCCGGTGGTGAGGCTTGGCAGCAGGATGAGGATGTGGGGCCAGCAGTGCTGCAGGATTTGTCTGCTCTGGCTGTGCTGTGTGTGGGCACGGCAGCCTGTGGGCTCCCCTTGGATACCTGGGATATGGGATAAGCTGTGGGCAGATGGCTGTGCACAGGATGAACCATCTAGGTTAATGACCTGGGCAATGCTGTCTGCCTTTCTGTTCGTGGCTGCTGCTTCTGTTCCTGCTTCAGAAACAGGGCAGATCTTTACCCTGTGTGCAGCACCCGCTCACTTTTCTCAGAGTCTCTCGACACCTCTCTGCTGTCCTTTCCACTTGAATTTGTATTGAACAAGGGATGCTGCTTACAAGAAACTTGTGGAACTAAGAGTGAGAACCAGGCTGGAAAAACCATAAGAGTTCAAATATGTAGGGTATGTGATGCTTTCTCCAGCTTTGACTTTTTTTGAGTTTCTTTTTATTGTGAAGGGCTTGTTAATTTTTTGTTAAATTCTTCGACCATAACTGTGACCAAAGAGAGGAATGCATTTGACAAGTGCAATAAAGCAACTGTTCCGTGTTTATGGCAAGTGCTATACTTTTATGCTATTAATTCAAATTGCCTGGATTTTTATAAAACTGGGACAGTATAGGGTTACCTACCTTGCTAGAACAGTTGAAATGGATCACACTACAAAGTAGTCCACATCTCCCTATCAAATTTTAGAGAAAATAATCTTGGAGTCATAAGGGAGGCGTATGTCTCTGGACCACAGCTTTTAGATGCATTTTTGTAACCAGCAAATGTTGGGAGTCCCAAAAAGAAATAACAAGAAAATGCCATTAAGTAAAATAGAAAGTTCAGTGCAAAAAGTTGCACTGTATGTGAGGTAGTGACACTTAGGAGGACACAGGTAACTTCAGAAATGTGTTTTGCTACACTACTGTATCTAAGTAGAGAAGGTGACTGCTGTACTCAGTCCTCTTCCAAGAGGAAAAGTGGTGGGAAGTGTACATGGGAATGATTTTCTTGAGCAGACTTCTGCTGAAAACCAGAGGCGTGCAAATAATTGGTTATTTTTCTTCAGTTTGATGGTTGTACAGACAAGGAAAAATCCTTTGGGACCAGAGAAGTCTTTAGAGAATGAAGAAAGCAGAATGTGTTCCAAGACCAATACACTGCTTCAATTCCAGGTATTTTTAATTTTTTTTTCTAAGTAACAGCAAGAAATCTGGGATCTTATTTGCTTGTTTGTTTTTGTTTGTTTGTCTGGAGATTTTTTCCTTTTTAATTAGCAAGGTAAAATTCAGAAGTCATGTGCAGCTCCAAGAGGGAAGGAGTGTGGGCATCCCTACCTCTTTAAATACATCCAGCAGGGTTAGCATTCATGTCACAAAGCTGTTGATGCTCTCCTGTGAGCCTCGCAGAGCAGAAAGAGGGTCTGAATTCAAGTTTCTCCATCCAAAAATAGTTCTGACCACTGAATGAAGGATATGAAGTGGGAAACCTGATAAGAATGACCATAGTGACATGTACATGAATTCCCATGCATGTGTAACATGTTTTCTTACACTAAAAAGGCATAATTGCGTTGGGTAGAAATAGACAACCCCAAATAAGCTGGGAAGACTCTCTGAGACAAACCTGGCCCAACATTACTTGAGTTTAGGATAAGTGCAGATAAGTAATTAAATGTTCTTGAGTACACTTAGGCTTTCTTTGAAGCCAAGATTTTTGGTACAGATATAAGGTGCTCTGCTGCCAGTGCCTGCTTCCAGGGAAGGGCTGGATGTTCCTCCCTGATGGATCTCATGTTCATGGTATGCTCAGTCACTTCTGCTCAGTGACTGCAACCCGATAGCCATTGCTAAATCCTCAGCCTCTTCTTGAAGGGACTCTGTGGAAAAGGGATAGTCACCGTGGCAAGAACAACTTGTACTTGTACTAGGGTCTGAATGGAACCAAGGCTTTTGCATTTTGGAGGTGGTTGCTCATGTGCCAAAGAGGCTAACCCCTGTTTTTGTGTCAGCTCCCCATCTTTGTGGGATAGTCTCACCTCTCAGTGCCTACTAAGCAGCTGGTGTGCAAATGATGGCTTTTTGAACTGCAGTATTTATTTGAGCCTTGTGTCACCTGACTGAGGTCAGTGAACCTCACCATTCATCTTGGACAAATTCTTCTTATATTGTCAGGCTTCTGTTTTGGAATTGAAGTTATGATCCTTGCTGTCACCTCATGAGTGACAAATATAAGGCAATGGAAAAGGACTTACCCCTAATCCTGCAAAATTAATTTCATAACAAAGTTGATCACTGAACAAGAAAATAGAACTGGGCAGAGAGTCAAGATATCTCCATTTGGTTTGAGCCAACTTCTTCCTGATTAAAAACTGTAACATATTTTCTTTATAATACCATTCTTGAACTCTTACATTTTATACCACTACCTTAATCAGTTCAAAGCTGAACGGTGTGTGCTCAGGTCCTTAAGGTGACTTCTAACAATAGTAGCAGAAATGATCCACTGATGCTTTGTGAGGATAATCCTGGAGTCCGTGGTACGTCATCAGCCAGAGGGTGTCATTCCCTGCCCATTATGTTTATTTTTTTCTTGTACATGAGAAGCAGGCTTGTATTTGAGGTTTTCAGTTTAGACCTGTGTCCTCTGTTCTGAAAACAATGATTCCCAAGTAGTTCCTGAAGAAGCTTTTCCTCAAAGGTTTGGGTGGGTAGAACTAGAAAAGTGAAACTGCTTCTAGGGCAGTCTTTTCTTACGTATGTTTCTTTCTTGGAGTGCGCTGTTAAATGCACTGTGGAGCCTGGGATGAACAGGTCATCCCATGCTATGTGTTACCCTATAGCTAATGCCAACTGCAATTTCAAGTGCTCCCTCCTAATCTCTCCCCCTCATGCATTATTTCCTTGTGCAGCATTAACGCACCACATGCTGATCCACTGTTGCTTCATGGATTTAGAAAATAATCTACAGGCCTGCAGTGATGTAAAACATTAAATATTGTTTTAAATATCGGAGGCGCCATCCTGCCTACACGGTACTTAGGGTGGGCAGCACGCCAGCGCCTTTGCTGGCATGTGCCTGAGAACTGGAGCATGCCTGCTCCCCGTGAACAAAGCAAAGCCCAGGACAATAAGGCAGGAACGATGACAGACAGGGAAGGGCTGGCTTATGCCTTGTGCTGTTTGACCATAATATCAGCTTTGGAGACTATACTGTCTGGAGGGCTAAGAGTTTCTTTCTACACTCCTGCCTTACTGCCTGCACCTGCCCATCCCAGGGCAGGCAAGAATGAAAGGACACTTTATAGAGCTTCCAGGGGCTTGTCAGTCAGTTATTGCACAGTGGGATTTCACTGGATGCTTCATACTCCTTCTCTCACTCAGCATTGCCAGATAACACTGGGCTGAGTGCATTTCTTCTTAGCTTGCTTCCCTCTTTCTCTTTGACACGGCAAAAAGCTGGTTTGTGTCTGGCAGAGGAAGGGCTGGGGAAGCCTGTGTGCTGGGCTGTGTGTGTGGAGGGAGCAGAGGTAGTGCAGAATGCCTGCTGCACTTTTTGGGATACCTGTGAGCTGAGCCTTTCCTTTCTGCTCCAGAGGAGTAAATTCCCACTACAGCCCTGCCTGTGGATGGGCTGTTCTTCACCCCAGCTTTTCAGTGATGTATCCACACCCACACTCACTATCTGCACAGGGACAACTAGAACAGAGCATGTGTTTTCTTTTCCTTGCAGTGACTTGGACATGAGTAACCATTGGGAGTCGTCCTGTTTCCATTCTGAAAAGCTGCAGTTGCACAATGGCAGCTGAAAAGCTGCAGAAGCTCAGAGTGGTGTGTGCAGCTGCTCAGCCCTCTGGGCACAGCCTGCCCCTCTTTCTGCATCAGGCACACATAAACTGGGCTGTGGTTTTAGGTCCCTGCCTGAGGACTGCTGACCCTGTCCTACCTGCAATGTTCCTGATGTTGGGAAAACGTCAGTCCCCCTTAACTTTCTCATCAGCACATCAGCTCCTGTCTTTGTGCCCATGGATCCCAAGTTCCTTGTGAAGGAGAGCACTCAGCCTATGCAAGGTGGTCCTGCACTTCTGAATTCATGGCACAGTGAATGATGTTTTGGAAGGCAAAGCCTCAGGTACTGTTGGAAACATCTACCCATGAGCTGTTCATTATATTGGAGTGTCTGCATGAAAGAGGCAGGAGAAAAGGGTTGCCCACAAATATTATCAATACAAATCAGCATATTATTAATGCAGCCAAAGGTATGGTCTGTACACCCACCCTTTAATGCATGTGAATGTGCTTAATTCTGTGAGAACTTGCAAAGCCAGGAGCTATATGAACTTGGCTGTCACACATTTCTTAAAGCATTATTTCTCCTTTTGCCTCTTAGAGATGCCTCTAATGCCAAATGGCCCAAGAACTTCAAAGACATACCACAAATTAAATCTGCCCTTCATGCTTTTGCTTCCTTCAGTATCTAGCTGTGGCAAGGCCAGCTTCTCACTGGCTCTAGGGGCTCTCTCTTCAGACTTTTAAATGTAAGTGAATTGTAACATAATTAATACATATAAACTTCATGTTACCTGGTCCAGCTGCACTAGAAATGGGCACCTTGACTCATTAGAAAAACAGGCATCTCTCTTCCACTGGGCTCAAACTCCTCATTGGCTTTGAAATATTTCACTCTGCTCCCACTCCTCAAGTTACAGCTTCTTTGGCCAAGTTCACTAGTTCTTATTTCCAGAAACTGCTATATCTCAGAGGGCTTCTGAACTGGTTACAAGGTGATTAATACAGGTAAGGTACCTGTTCTAATTTTAATGTAATTGGCATAAATTACTTTCTGAAGTTGCTTTTTCTTCAAGAGATGGAAGTGCAGAGCATTGATGTGCCATCTTGGAGCATTTATAGGATGAGGCTCCTGAATTTTCTCTCTGCTTGCTTAATTTTGTGTAAGCTTTTCCTCTTCCTTTTGAAGAGTTTCTGTAACTACCTACTTAACTACTGTAGTTATGTTGGGAACACAAAATTCATGAAAAACAGAAACACAATTTAGCTAGAAATGCCTAAATGCATTATTCTCATGTTTTAATCCAGCTGACTGGGTTAAGAGGGCAAGTGTGGAAGCAACACTTCCCGCTCCTGGCTGTCCCAGTGTGCTGTTCCTTCCCTTGCTGGCCAGCAGCAGGCAATAGTGTCCTGTCATGTTCATGTCCAGGTGTTAGTGAGTCTCTAACCTGGATTGCTAATGGATGGAATTAGCTCTGAATGTGTGCAAAAACCTCAACAAATGGAAAAGAAAAAGGAAGGTGTTACTATAAGACCATATATGTTGTTGAGGTATGTATATATCTCTTCCTTCATTGGGTTGTGGTTAATCAGAAGATTCATGTTGGGTTGTTTCTGAAGAAGAGACTCCCCCATTTCATGTCCAGCACAGGCTGTTGTTTCAGCCTGAGCATGTATGCTTTGCTTCTGGTGTATTAGAAAAATGTGGTAATGTCTAAAACAAGAATTATGTGGGAAAGACGTGAAGATGCATAAAATGATGAAAATCCATGGGTAGAAGGATCTCGTTAAGTGGACTTAGGGGATTCTCATAAATATCATTTTAGTGTGATGTAGTTCACATGATAACAAGATATTTTGTTCCACCAGCAAAATGGAGCATTAGCTTAGAGGACTGGATTACTCATGGCACAAACATGGCTGTTATGTGCAAACTTTCGGTGTTCTGCCAAGGTCAGTTCGTGGGGGTTGAGATGAAACTGTTTCCTAAACTATGAAAGTGATCCCGGGTACCCAAGCTGCTGGAATGCCTGGAGGTTTTATGGATTCCTTCCCCTTTAGCCCACTAGCAGGGTATCTGCTAATGCAGGCTCTCCTTTCCTGCCTGCATCTCTCTAGTGAGGCTGGCCTTAGGAGAAGCATTGCTTTCACTCACTTTGTTTTCTGACTCTTGTTTGCCTGCAGAAGGAGCATTTACAGCAGGCTTTTCTGTAGATAACCAAGGCAAAATGTTGTCCTCAGGCACTGGAAAAGATGAATGTATCACTCATGTCTGAATATGACACCAGACCCAAGATAGGAGTGGGAAGGTGTCAAGTTATAGTCAGATCTACTCTCACAGCACCTCAGCTGAGAACATTTGTTTGGGAAGGGCTGGTGGAAGGTTTCATGTCATGCAGGTGAAGGAAACAAAAGGTAGGAAAACAGATTTTGGCCTAGGGCTGAGGATCTGCAGTGGGCTTGTTCCTCCTGCCCACTTAGAGGGGATGTGCACTTGCAGGTAGGTCCTGTGACCAGGCAGGTCTTGGCCATGCCAGAGCTTTCTGGAAAGACCATTCCTGAGGGTGCCTAGCAGAGCTCCAGCTATGTTGCCCCTGTGTCAGGCTGGCTTTGTACCCTCCCCTTGCAGCTCACTGGCTGTTGCTGCTCTGGCTGTCCTTGCCCAGTGCTCCAGAGCCTCAGCCACATCTTCCCATTTCTGATGGCTCATAGCAGAGCACCTCTGCTGAAGCTTGATGTTAGAAGCATGCACTGGAATGGAGGTGTCAGAGTGCTCTCTAACTGCTTGAAGTGGTGCAGCTGAAAACTGTGTGTGTTTAGGAACATGCTTTGTTACGGAAGGGAGTGGAAGACTAACGGAGTGACGCTGATAAGCAGCAAATGACGTTGGAAATACATGTTCAGGGTGAAGTCAGGGGATCAAACACAGTTTATATTCCTTTGACTAACTGCCTTCAGATTTTATAATTCATTGATTTTTTGCCTGTGCTATACAGGATGCTCATTCAGGAGTTAAAAATCTAAGGGACATTTGGGGGGATTACCAGGCTTCCGCAATGTCAATGTCAAACTTGGATTCTGGGAAGCTTTGTCTTAGGGCAGGACTTGAGGATGAAGGTTCTGTGTGAGTGCAGAAGTAGGATTAAATTTCAAAATTTCAATCAAACCCAGAAAGAAACAGTAGAGGGCTGAAAGATATCTTCCCTCAGCTGAAGTAGTTACTCTCTTCATACCTGTAAAGAGGACCTTGCCCAAATTCCCTTAATTTGCTGCAAAGTACATCTGAGGCCTCAAGTAGATCTCAGCTCCAGTGTATTTACTGTCCCACCAGAAACAGTGCACTGCAACCTCACCCTAATTTTACTGGAATCAGCTGCCACTACTCTGGAGCAGAAGCAAGAAAAAACAAAATTAATATCTGGATAAACAGCCTATTAGTTTGATGACAACTGTTGTTCTCCATTTCAGGGTCCAGAGAGCAGCCTGGGCAGTGAGCTAATGAGAACACCAGAGCCGTGCAGCCTAGGGGGAGGTGGGGGGTAGAGAAGAAAACAGAACAAACACTCCTTTTGTAGCTTGGAGCTAAGGGGATTCAGCCAAAGGTTAATTGCTTTCTACCCTAAAATGCTGTGAAGTGTTGCTGCGTGGTGTCATACAGCTGCTTCATCCCAGCCTGAGGGTGTCTGTTTCAGTGGTGGGTGGCATGAGCCAAGATCCTTTTTTTAACCGCACGGGGGTGTTGCAAGGTCTCCAAAAGGCATCCAAAAATCTGGTGGAGCTTGGTTGGTATCATTTAGGGTTTCACCACATCATGGGAGCATTTAGCAAAAACACCAAATGAGCACCAAAAGAACAGATTGCTCATCACTAGGAATTTTTTTTAGGGGATGCAAGCTCATTGTTTCCTCTGATTCTTCATTGGACAATCAAATGAAAGATGCTACAGGAATCAAGAGATAAGGACAGAAATGAGTGTAATAGTAAACTTCACCTTGCTGTCACCTTTGCCTCTTAGCCAGTGTTTCTTTAAAATATTTTAAAATTGAAGTGTGAACTTTAATTTTAATGATCAAATTTGTTATTCCTAAGAATAATAAAAAAATACATTTTTTTTTTCCATTAACAATTCTGCTCATGCAACTTCTGCACTGTGTCGAACTTAAAGCAATAAAATAACTTTCTATTAGAATAGGTCTGTTGTGATAGCTTGGAAGTCTCCTTCTGGTTGGTGGGACATCAAAAATTTCAAAAAAACAGAAAGTTGTACATGGGGAAAATAATCCTGTGATGTTGTGCAGTCTTGTGACAGTGCCCAGGTTCCCTTGTCTGGAGATCATCATAGTGGAAGAGAATTAGAGTATTTAAGTTGGAAGGGACCTACAGTGATCATCTAGTCCAATTCCAATTGATACTTGTGAGATTAAATGGAACCAAATAGAAATGTGATGTCTGATCTTCCTGTAGGGTAGGTAAATTTCTGATTTTAGTGTTTGTATGTGAACTCTCAATATTGCAAATAATTCTGCTGATATCACTTCTCTGACCTGTTTGTCTCAGTTTCTCTTGTCTGGTCATTCTGCCCATTTCCTTGTGAACATTTTTATCTTTTACTTTACTTGTGCTTTCAACACTTATTTTATTTCATGACTCCACAACTGAAGTTTAACTTATACAGGGTTTAAATTCATGACCAGCAAGCCTGAGCAGGTGTGTGCTCATTGAATGTCGGAGCTTGAGTATTTTCAATGCTCAGTTCAGGTAAGGAGGAGCAGTTTCCTCTGTGATTCTTATGCCAAATGACAGGATGGTCTGAGAAAACCCTGAACATTTCATTAGTGTCTCTTCCTATCTCAGTCATGTGTGCATGGCTCACCCTGCACTGCTGGGAGCCCAGTCTGGTTCCACCCATCCCCCAAAAGGCAAAGTGTGGGGTCACAGCACTGTTCCAAATGACCAAGCTTTCCCCAGAGTTAATTCCCCTCAAAAAGGAGACAATGCAGGCAATAAGAGCACTAGAGATGGGAGTGCTTTGGGCTCTTGTTTGCCCTCCATCCAGCTCCCTCCCTGTCCCTTTCTGATAATGAAAGAACAGGTCCCAGTTCTTCTGCTTCCAGGGAATAGTGTTAAGTCTCATGGTGGCCAGGCAGCTAATGGCCCAGTTGGGAGCAAAGACAACAACCCTTAGAGAGCAGTTTTACCATATGGGAAATGTTTAAAGCATTTTTTCACCAAGGTTTTGGGGTGTTCTGCTTTTGAAGTCCCCTATTCCAAACAGGTTGATGTGTGTACCTCTGCTTTTGTCGGAGCTGAGTATCACAAACAGGATGAGGCTCTTTTTCTGCATGTCAGTACAATAGAAACACATGAGTTTTTCTAGGAGAAGCTTGTCTGACTCAGCAGTATTGCCTAAACTTTCAGAGATAACTGCAACCTACACTACACAAGGTAGAGTTGCATGGTATCACTCCTGTTTTCTGTTCCTTACTTGTCTTCTGGCCTAATTGAAGGTGCTGACTTGTTAGTTTGGAACATGAATGGTCACTGAGCCCAGTGGGACTGGGGACAGGGCTTGTAATACTGATGGCATGACTCTATTAGCAACAATTTGTGTGAGTAATTTGGTAGAATAGTTATGAGCCATCTGCCTGCATCTGCAGTTGCTCAGCAGCCTGAAAGCACACTTTGAAGTCAGCTTTACTGGAGCTGACCCTGGTAAGTTCTTGCTTTTCATTCCTAGGACTGCTGCACAAAGTTAACATCAAGTGCTGTCTTGGAATCCCGGATCTTTCCTTGGAATCCTGAATCTTTCCAGTGAAGCAGATAGGAATTCTGAAAGGTTCTGCAGTGTCTGAGAGATCTTCAACACAGCTTTAAACTTTTGTGACTATTTAATGGGAGACAAATCTTTCCTTGTTTTCTTTTTTTTCCCCCACTTCATAATAGCATTAAACTCATTTTCTGCAAACCTGCTTTCAACGGTCTAGCTAATTTATACTGGAAGTAATTGGACACACCTAGTGAAAAGCAGAGTGGAATTTTGCTGTTGAACTGCAATGTTCTCTTCAAGTCACTGGTCTCTTCCATTTGATAATTGTCATAACAGCAATTAAGTAACCTGACTGCTCCTCTTTCCTGCCAGTGATGAAAACTTAAAATGAGTCTTCAAAACTGTCACTCTTCTCTAAAGTTTCCTTAAAGAAATGGCATTTACTCCTCTCTTAATATCTTGCTATCTAACATTAGCTTGCTGTTCAGCCTTCAGAGAGCTCTTACTGCAATAGTCAACCAGGTTAGGGCTTTAGATACTCTTGGGCTACTGCTTATCTTGAGGAGTCCAAGGGGATCATGGTGATGCTGTTTGCGACCTCAATCTCTTGTTGTGTAGAGACCACGTTCATTTACTCTCAAATCCATTATAAATTCATGTTACATGCTTACTCACTCATTCCATAGTGGGATGCTGCTCCATACCCAGAGCTGTGATGTTTCTGGGCAAGAGCAGCATTTGTGCTGCTGTTGTGGTTGCAGTTTTTCCTGGTGTGCCCTTGGCATGACAGGTGCTGTATGGACAGGGGGTTGAATTGTTCCCTCAGCTCTTGTGTGGGATTAACCAGGCACTGCCTTTCTTGTGCTTTGTGGGATTCTCAATCTCGTAGCCTTCTTCAGCCTTCAGAGAGGCTGTGGGGGTATGTACAGAAGAGCTGTATGTCAGCGAGCTGTAAATTGCTGCCATCTGCCAGCTCATGTAGGGGGCTCCCACCTGGTCTGGTGTGTGCTGGGATCTATGCTCTAGCTCCAAATCCTGGCTCCTAGGATTTGCCTTTGACCGGACCTGTTCTCAAACACTTGAAGGAGGTGGATGCCTGGTCTCATCTCTTCATAAACAAACCAACCTCATCTGTAGGTGCATGCAAAAAACCCTCAAAAGACCCAAACCCAAACAAAACCAACAACCAAATAACCCAATCCCAAGCCCACAAAAAGCCCCCCAAGCAATCAAACAAAAACCAAAAAAGCTATGTGGATTTAAGGTTTTTTAGCAGTCACTCTCTAGCCTAAATTCTATGGGACTTCTTTATGTTACAGATTCCTGTCCCAGAGGGGTTTTTAGCAGTCAAGAGGGTTGGAAGGTATTTGAGCTGCTACAGTATATCATGTTCTCAGCAAGAGCTTCTGCTCTCTGTTCAGTCCAGAGAGGTTCTTAGCCCATCTCTGTGAGCATAACTGTAATGCTACGAATTATTCCTTGTGGAAACTTTAGCTATTGTGCTTAGTGGGTTTACAGGAGCTTTTTCAGTCTGCTTTTAGTGTATTTGTGTTGGTGGGGATTCTGAGTGGAATTACATGCCCAGGCTTTCAGATAACTGCTGTAAATACACAGATCCACTCTAGTCCCTTACTTCACTGTAGCAGCTGCTGCGGTGTTGCAGAAACTTCATAGCTTTGACTGCATCTTATTAGTTCAGCACACTATTAATATCCCAGAAGCTTTTTGTATTAGTTTCCACACTTAATATTGGTTCTCCTTCTTTCTTCCCTGCCCCCCTTCACACTCAGTCATTAAACTAAATTCATCTTGGGGCTTTTTCATTTAAGATGCCCTTGCTGCCCACACCAAAGAGGGGAACCAGACTGGAAGAAAACCAATTGTGCTAACAGTCACCTGGTATATTTAGTGGCAATGTCATCTAACATGCATTTATGCTCAGAAGTAGTGCCTTTCTGCTTCTATATGGAGCATTTGTAGTGTTGGCAAAATCTTTCCAGAGAAACAGCTGCTGATTGGCTCTTCTTGTCTATTTGGGGAAGGATCTGTCCTTAAATACTTAGTTATTCTGCTTTCTAAAAATGGCATCAAGCACTTGGCACTATCAGGATTGGACTCAAAACTTTTACTGAGATGAACTGGGTGCATTGCACCAAGACCTGGTGAATCCTTGTCTCCCCTAGAGGAATGATTGCACAAGTACCAGCAAGTGGGTGCAGGTACATCTAGGGCAAGTCAGTGCCTGGGGCTCTAAAATGCCAATTGCAGTCTTCCTCTGGAAGGCTTTAAAACCAAATGTCACATTATTACGGTTAAATGGCTCTGGTGAAAAGGGCACAGCTGAGCTGCATTTCAGCTAATATTTCTTCTGAATGTAAAGAAATCCTGTCCCAAATGGCAGCAATGCCTCTCCTTTGAGGTGTTGTGTCTCAGTAAGGTGGAGAACTCAGGCTGTCGTCTGAGTAAGGACTGGGAGCCAACTTGCCTTTGCCAGTCTGTGCTGACCAGAGACAGGGCAAGGAGAAAGGCTCTGCCAGCATTTGGCACAACTGCCCCAGCCTCCAAATGCATAAACCATCTGACTGACACCTAACTCTGACTGAGGAGAAGGCTCTAGGGTGAGCAGCTCACCAGGAATAAAAGTGTTTTACCCTTTTGGTAGAGCATAGGTGCTTCCCACTGTTCCTCAGAGCTTACAAGGTCAGGAAAACTTGACATCCAGAGAGCTGGTAGGGTACCATGGGAAGGTTTTTACTCCAGAGCCCAGGGGCTTTGGTCACCTCTGAGCTCTTGCTGTGACACCTCACCCAAGGGAGAACAGTGGGTGAATCATGCAATACTCCTTTGAAACAGAGGCTAGCTTAGGACAGCTTGAGGGTCTAGGACACTGAAATATCTTCCTGTCCAGAATAGTTTGAATTAGTTGATCTGCATGGCATGCTGCCAGGCTTCAAGGAGAACTAGGGAGGCCTGGCTACTGGTCAGCAGGCTGGACTGGGTGGTAGGAAGTTATTAATAGCTGCTCTTCCATGGAAAGAATGAGTTTGGCTGAGATGTGATGTAAAGCTGCTAACTGGTACAGCAAGCAAATGCTGAAAGTCTTGTCCATTATCACTTGAATGAGCTGTTATGCCTTATGGAGGACCTTGAGCCTCATGGTCTCAGCTCTCCTGGCACTGGCCTCTGAATCTGAGCTGTGTGGTTGGGCAGCACAGGTGCAGGTCTGAAGAAAAGAAGCTGTCAGCTCTTGGTCAGCCTCAGGGAGTGGTCGGTGTATCTTCTCTTCCTCAGCAAGTTTAGGTTCCCTCAAGGTCCCTCATGATGCAGTTGTCACCTGTAAGAGTCAACTCTTTGTTTCTGAAACAACTTAATTTAAGGACAGAGAAGTAAGAAAGATGCTTTTCTGCACACTAGAAGTTTTGGAAAGAAATATTATCTCAAAACCTCAGACAAGACCAGTTTGGAAAAAAGGTGGAGACTGGGCAAAATAAATGAATAAAAATTCTCTTGAGTGGAATGGCAGTGAGGAATTTCTTATGGGGGATTTAGCTGGATCAAAGGTTACAGTAAAGCACAAGTAATAGATTTGCTTTAACTATACCAGCTGGTCCTCTCCTTTTAAAGACTTGTGGCAGAATGGCTTTAATGATGTTATTGAGGGCATCTGTTGGACTTGTTCTTGAGCACTTGATTAGAGGTAGTAATTTTTAAGGGGAAGGCTAGGAAAATCAAGTGGTGTTGCATTCAGTGTGAAGCTTGTATTTCCTTTTGTATTCTTCAGTTCCCTTCAGGAACTTTTCAGTTGCCTTGCAGGAAACTAATACAAGGCTCTGGGTTAATACACAGAGGTCTCCAAGCCAAGCCCAGTTTCATCCCTTGGAACAACTGGTGCTTCTTAAGGGAGATGCTAGCTCCCAGAATATCTACGTGGATCAAGTTTGTCATCTCCCTCATCCTAAAGCTCACACATCTGATTGTCCTGCTTAGAAAGAGGGAGGATGAACAAGAGTCAATGGAATATCCATTTCTCATTAAAAATAGTTCTTCTCCTAGCTATTGTAGGGAAACTTTATTTCCTTGGTGGCTTGTTGCTGATCTCTGCTCTTGTCTGTTGGATTTCCACCCTGGAAAACAGGTGTAGAGATGCTATAAGTAACTAGAAGTCTGATGCATGCAGTGAGTTCCTTGAAGACTCTAAATTACAGTTTTCCTTCCTGTGCTACAACCTCAGGTCCCTGACCTGCAACTGCAGCATATTTTCTGTGACTAACAGCTGTAATTCCCTAATTATCATGCTCTGTTCTCCTGCTGTGCTGTAGATTTTGTTACCAAGGAAGCAAACCAAGTTTCCTCGTTCCTACTCTTGCTCTGTATGCTCCCAACTGTTTTAAATCCACCATTTGATGCAGCCCATAAAGACAAATGACTATCTCTTGTTTCAAATACTCAAAGTTTCCAGAACATGTTACGTAGCTGCACGCTGGGGACAAAGAAGGAAAATTAAGTCTTTCTGGTCTTTCTTTTAGTGAAGGCAGCTGGTCCAAAGCTATTGCTAGGTTAGAAAAAGTACCTTTATTAGCTGTAACCATCCCGTGTGGAGGGCTGGACTAGAGGTAGTCTCAAACAGTGGGCCCAAGCAAATGATACTGTTGCAATGTGACTGACAAAAATTCTGTAAACCCCTGGAAAATGAAGTTGTACATTAAATGGCAGGTTGTGTTGCCATAATTTCCATACAAGCTTCATCATTTGAGGATGACTAACAAGGGGTCTGTTCCTTTTTGCCCCCACTGCTTTTGAGGTTGGGGATAAATGATTGTATGCCACATGGTAATGAGAATAAACCTGTGCTAATCAAGGTGATTAGATCAATACAGCCAGACTGTATCTTGTGACAGATAAGCAGCTGTCACAGAATATCACATAAATATATTAAGAAGCAGAAAAAACTTCTAGTTTCCTAAAACCCCACAACCTAGGTTTACCTTTCTAAGTATGCAAAGGTATATTTGACTACTGCATGTACTGAGGCTTTACTGGATGATGCCCATCATTCTCCTGCAGGATGCACAAGGGCAAGTTTAGTTCTTTAAGCAGTTGTCAGTCTGGACTCCATCAGGCTAACGTGGCTGTGTCCACAACAAGCATCAAGCCCCCAGTGCCCTGGGTGGCAGTCGGTGACAAACAGGAATGCATTCTGTGGGGCATGGGGCCAGCCATTAATTCATGGCTCACTCCAGAAATATCATCCAAGTTGCAACATGAATGATGTCTCCTGGGTCACAGGATAAGAGTTACTGACTCCATATGGGGGATTTTCTGCTTGACTCCTCTGCCCACTGTTTGAGACTACCTCTAGTCCAGCCCTCCACACGGGATGGTTACAGCTAATAAAGGTACTTTTTCTAACCTAGCAATAGCTTTGGACCAGCTGCCTTCACTAAAAGAAAGACCAGAAAGACTTAATTTTCCTTCTTTGTCCCAAGAGCTAGGAGGCTGCTCCTTCCTCTGGATCACTGGGATTAAATCCACACCTGGGTCTAGAACAGGTGACACCCAAGGTGGGGGGGCAATGAAGGAAATTGTCTGCTTGGCCTCAATCAAAGGAGAAGGAAAAATGAAATGCCAAAGAAAAGGAGTAAGTTTAGACAACACAAAAGATGTCCCTGGAAATAAGATTGTCCAGCATTGCTTTATTTGCAAACTCCACAAATACAGGGGCTTCAATACAGTGCATTATGTAGCTGGCAAGCATGGATCAGGTATGGAGGCACATAAATCTATGGGGACCATTGTGGATGTATTTTTCACTACAAAATAATGGTGGGATAACCTAGATAACCTATAAAGATGCTTTTGTTCAGTTTCTGGAACTCTGCTCAGGTGTCTGAGTGTGTTTAAATATTAAGTATTGTGCACCTTAGCACACGCATGTCAGAATATATTGGTGTAATGTGGAAACTTGCCTTTAAGCTGCATTAGACTCAAGGTTAGAGATACAAACTTCAGTACTTCATAGAAACTCGAGTTGTGGTGGTAGTTCAGTAGGTGTTTTGACTTCATGGCACCCTGAGCTGGTGTTATGCTATGCTAGATTGTACCTGTAATAACCTGAAATTATTTTTTTTTTTTTTGGGAGAACTTACTGCTTTATTTGATTGCACTTGATTTTGGTCTGTGTCCGTACTTGTGAGGCTTCCTGTGATGGCCAGCAGGCTGCAGTGGATTTGCCTGAGTCTCAGGATGGGAAGAGTCACCAGCACACATTGTGTTACCTGTCACACGTTGTGTGACCCTTCACCAGCCAGGCATGCAGGTCCCCCTCACCCCTACCACCAACAGCATTCTTTCTCATTGGTGTCAAAATCCCTTCGTAAACAGGAGCTAGATGTGTAATTTAAAACCTTTATCAGAAATGACAAAGGATCCCCAGAGTCTTTTCCCTTTGACAAGGCCGGGAGAACCCACCTAGTGCCACTCTGTTGTTGATACTCATGACATTGGTACCTCAGAAGAGTGTTGGTAGAGGTGGTTTTCATGCTTTGGTTTCACTGAAGATGTGCACTCCTTTTGTGCAAATTCTGAGCTGTTCACTGCTTCCAAATTTCATAAACTCTGCAGGAAAAGTTGTTTTTTCCCCAGTGAACTCCAAGGACATGTGCTGCTGATGGTCACAAGCTGGGAGTGACTTTTGGTGGGTGGCTCTTGGTGAACAGAGCAAGTGACACTCAGATGCTGAAGGACTCCAGAGGGGAGGAGAGTGCCCTCACCTGGTTCTGAGTCAATACATAAACAAACGATTAAAAAATCCCCAAAAACAGTCTGTCCTGCTCTCCTCAGCCCCAGCACAGGCCTCCACCCTGAAGGAGAACATGCAACATTTTATTGTGCTTAATAGCATTTTGTTGTTGTTTTTGTTTGTTTGTTTGTGGGGTTTTTTTTGTTGTTGTTGTTAGTTTGTTTTGGTTTTTTTTTTTAAGGTGCAGGCTTCCACCACAGCAAACCTGGTGTGTCACTCTGTCCAGGATCAATCAAAATACAGCTCTTGCTCCAGGCTTGGTTTATTAACAGCACCAGGAGCAGTTATGTGAGAAAGGCAGGTCTCTGCCTGCTGGCCATGCAAGTCCCTCCAGCTAGAAGGGAGATGTGTGACCATCAAAGCTATGCTCAGCAGGCAGGAGCACTGTCCTGCAGCATTCCTGCTAAGGCTCCCTCACAGCTGAAACACCCAGGCTGTGGCAGGGGGAGTTGGGTTACACAGGGGAGCAGGCTGGCTCTTCCCTAGCTGATCATCTGCTGTGCCACAGCACAGGCACAGAGAGAGTTGTTTGGGGGCTGCCTCTGACTTGCTGCTGTGGAGGAAATGTTTGCTGAGAGTGCTGGAGTGGGCATCTGCTTCTCCTGAGGGTGAGAGGGTGGATTGTTAACCCCCTTACTGAGATGGAATGTTTTACTTGGGAAAGGGTGCATATACCTGGCAAATAAACTGCCTTTGACCAGACAGTTTTGAATTAAGTCAACCAACTTGAAGCCCACACTGCAGAAGGATGGTTGCTGTACCATAATGCTAAGGTATAAAAGCTTTTTTTGTTGTTGTTGGTTTTGGTTACTTGGCTTCAAACAAGTGACTCAGGTAGGACATTGAAATTAACCACTGTTATCAAATATTTGGGGGTAATGAGTGTCAGTCTCCAGCTTGTAACAACCTTCTGCTCCTGAGTTACCCAGCTGTGTCTTTAGCACTGTGCATGGTTTAGTGTGAACCACCAGGCACAGCATTGCCTCAAGCAAGACTTGAATGCATCCTGATATTACTGAGGGTCAGCAGGACAAGCCTTTTGGGAAGGCTGAGATGGTCTAAGACAAATCTCATGGATGTTGTTTGGCGTTTGGTTAAAGGTGATGGGCAGAGGAAAGAATGGAAATGGTGAATGCTGCTTTCTCTGCTGTACTGCCCAGGGTGGATGTGCTGAGCTCTGCTTTTGCTTACTGTCAATCCCAGCAGCACAAGAAAGAAAGGGGCTGGGAAACCTGAACCGGCAAAGCAGGAGTAGCACGCAGACCCTGCCCCCCGAGGCTGGCTGATGTGCCTTGTACCCCATGTCTGCAGCACACCCCTACTTTGCTTGCCCCGTGAGCAGAGTGGAAGTGCTGTGCAGCAGGGATGGTGTGTGTTTCAGGAGAGGGGGGCTGTGTGTTTTGTGTCTCCAGCGTGGTGTGCACCTGGGGCAGGCACGAGGGGTTTGTGTCTCCCATGTACAGCACGTGTGGTCTGTGCAGTGCAGGAAGCAGCACCCCTGGGTGCCGCTGCATTCCCCCCACAGCTGCCCTGCAGCCTGCTCCAGCCCTGCCCAGCATGGCTGTTTCATGGCCAGCTGCAGCTGTCTGGGGATGAAGTGCCCTGTTGGGGTGCCAGCCAGTCTGGCTGCTGTGCAACAGGATTCTGCCTGCAGTGCCGCTGGTTTCTCAAGGCTGGAAAGGTTTTCTGTGTCCCACTCCCCTTCACAGCACAGCCCTGGTTCTGTCAAGGGTGGCCTAACACTCTCCTTGCGCACAGGAGCAGGTTTCTGTGGCTGCAGGAGCCACAGCCCTGCAGGTGAAGGTGCAGGCTGGCAGATTGCTCTCATGCAAGCATCCCCACAGCAGCAGGAGAGATGCTGAGGGTGCAGGAACATGTCCAGCTGGGCTGGGACAGAACTGCAGCTCCTGTAGCCAAGTCATCCCCTCTTCCTCCTCAGAGAAGCACATCTGCAAAAAACCTAAATCCAAAGCAAGGTTAATAATAGTTAGAGACATTTCTTATTGCAACAACCTGGATTTATAACTCTAAGGGAGGGTCAGTCTCCCAGCCTGCTGTAGGAGAGGTGTGGCAAGCCTCTACACTAGTCAGTGAGACAAAAACTCAGTAAAGCTTGGGCTCTGGAGCTGTTTTTTACTGTTTAACCCATTTTCAGTTGCCTCAAACACAGAGGAACAGTGCAGGAAGGCATTAAGTGTTTATTTTCAGCCCACTCACCTTAGTGTCCCAGCTCTTGATTTATATACCACCTCATCAGCTGGACCACAACTGTCTCTGGTCTTGCATTTTAACTTACCTGAAAGAAAACCACATATAGATCATATCATGCAGACAGTTAGAATTATTTATTTTTGATTTGCAAAGCAGCTCCTTCAATCTGTTGCTAGCAATATGTCTATAAAATACACTTTAACAACAAATTGATGAAGCAGGGGTAGGGAGTGCTGTACATACCTCACAGCCAGACAAACCCCATGGTAGCAATTCCCTTCAAAGGTCTTCCACTGTTTCACCATCCACCAGAAAAGGCTGATTCAGGCTGCTGGCCACGTGCAGAGAGGATTTCTTCAGCAAAATTTCTGCACAGAGCCTGTAGGCTCAGCTGCTGCCTGAAACAAGAATCACACAACAGAAAAGCTGCAAAGATTTGACCCAACAGCTGCTTCATCTTCTGCACTGATTTAAAGCACCAGAGCCCTTTCTCAACCTGGCAACAAAGTCAGGCATTTATATATTTTTTAACATGCACATAAATGATGTATCTATAAATACATGTGTGTATTTGTACGCATACAAACCCAGTCACACATAAGTACATGTATTTACATATGTGTACATATTTATATATATAGCTATGTAAGGGGGAAGATGGACCTATACTTGACTTAAAAAAGACAATTGGGGCAGTCAGTTAACAATCAAGACTTTGTTATCCAGTTCAGCACAGGATGCAATCCTGTGCACCTCACAGGCCCAGCTAGTAAATGAAAATGCAATCTTTTCTCTTTTAGCCTGTGTGACAAAAGGCACAATTGCAGCCAGCAGCAGCCTGCCTGCCACTGAGGGCCAGTCAGAAACCCATTTCCACCTTAGCAACTGAAACTGTGCCTAGTATCTTTTTAAAGCACTCATGTCACAATTTTTAAACAGTCAACAAAGTGAGATTGAGGGAGGAACAACAGCAGGAGTGGGGAAAACTGCATTTTCAGAGACACGATGGTTCCTGAAGTCAGACAAGAGGTTACCAGCCCCTGCTCTGGGGTGAGGATTCCAGGTGCCTGTAGGGAGATGGCTTCTGCCACTCAGGTGAAGCCCATCATTTCTTCGTGTGGTTTATTCCATTCCAATGTCTTCCTTCCCCTGCCTCAGCCTTGGGAACACTCAGCTCTTGCTTAAGACATGAGCATTAAGTCAGCTGCTGTGCGTTTGTAAATGAAGTGTATTCAGCACCTACTGAAACAGATACAGCCCTTAATATATATGTATAAATATATATAATATTAGATATTTAGATAAATTATATATATATATATATATATATATAATGTCTACTGGTAAGTGTAGATATACATAAAAGATATGAAAGGGTTTTTATAAAAAGACCTGTACAAAAACATCTGGCATATCTAGGTGACCATCCAACACTGCCCCATCACCTCTGCCATCTACACACGGGTGCAGAAACTTCTCACCAAAACTGAGGCAACCAAATGCCCAGGCACAAATAGTGCAGTGTATGGTCACACACCAGGGCTGTGCTTGTTGGTCTGCTCCTTGGAAGTGAAAGCACAGGGTAAGTTACTCCACAACATATGTTTTTTCATGAGAGGAAAGCATTTACAAAACTTACAAGACAATTCTATGGCTGTAACAGGAGCTTGTACCGTACGTGCTTCTGGTGGTGCCTCGTTACCGGGCTCATGCTATAGAGCCCTCTCTGTTATCTGCGGAAAACTTGGTCTCACTGAGCATTTTCTGCACACGCTCTGCATTCCTCCTCCTTTCCCCAGTCGTCCTCTCCCAACAAAGGCTCTTTTTTTCAGGAGAATTAGGGCGCAAATCGTCGTATCTGTTCCAAGGGCAGAGTGCGCTGGTCTTACCCTGTGAGGAGTACTGGCATTCATGGGACTCCAACAGCTGGATCTGAGCATTTCCTTTAATTGAACAGGTTTGCAGTCTCTCTGTGCTGAAGCAATTCTCCACATCACACAAGCCTGCATTCCAGAATAAAATGAAAATTTAAGAGCGCTGGCTAACGAGACCGAGAAGCTCATTGTTTAAACAAAAGGCTGATTGTCTGGGTGCTCCAGTGCCCCATTCCTCCAACATTAAACCCACACGAGGGACAGCAGCCTAATCCACAGCTTGCTGCCAGGTGGTACAGAAATTAATCTTCCACTTACCGGGGATATTTGTTGCAGTGTTCATAAAGGTTTGCAACCCAACGAGGCGAGCGACTAAAATGTTCTCCCTGTCATAGATGGGCATGGCAAGGTGGTGATATGAAATATCAGCCCCCAGGAGCGTCCCCTGTGGTGAGCAAAGTGTGGATGATGTGTACCAGGGAGTGGAATGGCATCCCATTAAAATCTCCTGTTTTAACCCAGAGCCCCAGGCTGTCTAACTGCACAGAAAATGTGTTGGAGGATGAGGGATGGACTGGGAAAGGCCAGGCTCACCAAGGACCTAAGCACAGGCCACCATAAGGTGCAGGGCTGAGCAAGTTTGGTGTTTATGAAGAGAGGAAATAAAAATTTATTTTTCTCACATTTTAACAACACCAAAACTCCCATTTCTAGTCTGACATCCTGTTGTGTGTGCTGGACACACAACACAGAGACCCTCATTAGGTCTCCCAAAAGCTTAGGGATCTGCTTCAGATCTGCTTGCCAGGACATTTCACTACTCTTCCAAACAGGGTATGAGAACAGAGGAGGAAGAGAAATCCCTTTATTAGTCTGCTGCTCCCTTAAAATCCAAGGAGGAAAGGTAAAACACTCAGTTGCAAGCAGGTGATCAAAACAGGAGCCACATAAACATAAACATTTGGAAGGGTAAAGCCTCAGGAGTGTTTAGCATGATTGCTTCCAGTTTTCATCTGCTCACATTTCACTGCAGACGTAATTCGCTGCAAAGCACTGCCAAAGCTTTTCACAACACCAAGGCACGTTGAACTCGATGCAGATAATATTTACAAATACTGCAGCTTTCCCCCCATCCTTCCCTAATGTTTTCCCAGAAGCTTGCCATCCCATCTGGCTTTGGCTGTCCTTGCTGCCCTCTCAAAGACTTTCCTTGTCTGGGGAGCCCGTGGCTGTGCCACAGGGAGGTGGCAGCCTCTTGCTTTGCCTGCCTGGTTGACCAACCCTTCCTGCTGTGCACATGGAAAAGCAAATGGCCAGGGCCAAGTGCAAGTCAGTCCCTTGTCATGTGTTTGTGCATGACTCTGACTTGGTGCCCAGGGATGTCTCTAGGGCATCCCAGGTTATTCCCTAATCCAGAAAAATGCTTTGCAAAATAACAGCTTTTCCCCAAACAGTAATGCCACAGTCCTGCTTTTCTCCATGTATTCCTCCTGCTTGCGTCCTCATGTGGCAACAATTAACAGTTTATGCACCAGCCTCTTCCATGTCTGCTTAGCAAATTTTCAGCTAAACCAAATTCTTATTTTCCCAGGGTTTAGTTAGGCTGAAGCTCCAAATGTTTACAACATAAAAGAAGAATTGAACAAATCCAAAAGGCCATAAGGCAGATTTTTTGTGGATTCCATGAACAGCAGCAGAGCTAATGCACAGCTTGAACTTAAAAGAATTTGAATCCAAATTATATTTGTTCCTCATCTGGCTTGCTTTTTAAAACATACAGAGTTCTGTCAAACTCCTTTCTAAAAATAACAATTTACCATTGAAAAGAAATGTAAAGGGTCAGAACTATGCACAGAGATTCACTCATCACCCACAAAAGGAGCTTCTGAGTGAGTTGGACATTGGCAGAAAAGTCAGTCTACCAAAAATGTGAAAAACTGAACAAATAAGGTATTTAATTCACTCTGGTCCCATCCCATACTTTTATTTAATCTGGTATTAATCCCACCTGCAAGCACTGCCCCAGGATAGTCCCTAGGCAATGCAATCCCAGCAAAGAGCAGAAGGAAATCTGCAGTCCCAGGGCTAACCTTCCTCCTTAGCTGTCACTAGATCCAGACTGGTAACTCCTTCTGCAAGCAAAGCTAGCAAACCTGGTACAGGGTCCAGTTGGGGTCCTGGTAGTGGGAGCTGCAAGGCTGGCTCTGTTCAGCAAGGTGGCTTCATCCCTGACCACTGGATGGGATAAAGCATTCTCCTTTTCCTCATCCAACTTTGTCTGAAGTATAGGGATCCAAGAACCAAGCCAACAGCTTCAGGTTTCCTGAACTGGAGCCTCCATCTTGATGCCTTGTGAAGGCTGACCTAGAACAGAGGCTAGATGGAGTTAAAGAATAAAGTAGGGACTTATTAAAGGTCTCAATGGATGCACCTTGGGCAGCACAAGAGCCCAGCCAGGGCTGCACCCAAGATTAACCCAAAATGGATGACTGGTCACAGGTTCTCACATTTTTATAAATTCTGGTCTATTTGCACATTGCAGTTAATTGTCCAATTATAACTTTAGGTTATGAAGTCCCATCCTTGTTTTTCTCTCTTCAGTCCACATTGTTTATGCTCTTGAGCCTGAAATTCAGATTATTTGTCCTTGGTCCCCAGCTAGAGAAGGAATATTTTTGTCTACCTACTCTGTGAAGAGAGTTCACCATCCCTTAATATGAAGCTCAGAAGTACTACACTAAAGCAGTACAGAATCTGAAAAATATAAAAGCTAAAACCTGAGGCATCAATCTCAGCACTAACCACTGCTTTAAACCTTACAGAACTGTTTAGTTCAGTGTAAGAAAACTGAAATTTAACCCTGCCCCAAAGAGGAGCAGGTTCCTGCAGATGTCAGCTTCCACATGCAGGGGTATGTCTCCACAATAAAAGTATGTTTGAGCACTTTGGTTGGAAGCCTTAAAGCCTAGTCCCAATTCCACTCATAAACAAAGCCACAATCAGCAGAACCTAGTCACAATCAGCATGAGTCTTTCTGGCAAATGATGAGCAGAAATGTGTCTGCCAAAGCTGGTCTTTGTCTTGTAGCTGCAGATACTTAAAGGTCCACCAGTTACTCTGGCTCAGCTACCTCTATTTTTCTGAAACACCTCTATTTCCCAGCTTTGGTACTAATCCTAAAATCAACAGCAGACAAGGGGAGCAGCCTATGCATGGGACAGCAACTGTCTGCCCTGAAAATGACTGACCAAGACTGGCACAAGGAGCAGACTTAGGACCAGCCTTCATCTGGAGCAACCAGAAAAAAACACCACCCTGGGTCCTTACCCAGTGAATACAGATAGTCAAATGTCCATGACCGTTTTTTAAAGAATAAGGCAGCATTTAGCAATTTCAACACTAGCTCTTGCTTTGGGAGGATGTGTTTTACTGTGTCTCTGGAACTGAAGCACTTGTTTCAGTTAGACAGCAAACTACACAGCAGCCACACAGCAGCCACCAAAGTGCTGCTCTTTCAGTTCCTCTTGGCTGAAGACATGAGAAGTGATGCTCAGTTCTGCTGTTCCAGCTCCCTGTAATTAATGTGAGCTGTTAATAATGAGGCATCTCTATTTCTCAAATCAGACTTCAGCAAAACTTGAACTCTAGGCTTAACAAAAGCAATAATAAACAACAATGATTATTCCTTCATAAAGAAGGTATTATATTAAAACAATACTAGTGTTCACACTTATAACTAGACACCTCAAACTTTCTCTTTAAAGCTAATTTGAATTATTAGTATTCCAACACTGAAATTGTAGTTACAAACATGAAAATATGTCCCAGAGCATTGCTAAAAGTCTTAATTTACAATAATACCAGCACAGACTCCCACTTTGGAACAGCAATCATGTTAAAGCCTTCTAATTGCACTCCAGTGTTTTTCATCACTATTTTAATAAACATTTACTGCCAAAGGTATGATAAGAGAGTCTTTGGAGTAATAGACCCAAATACTGTTTCCATTTGAGAGGGCACCAATATTTCTCTTATATAACCCACTGTAGGTTGGGGCTGTAGCATCACTACAATGTTTTCTCCTAAAAAGGTTTGTTACTCAGCATAAGAAAACCATTCTATTTGATAATAAACTTTCAAGTAAAGTATATTTTATGTTTCATAAAGACTGAGAAGTTAAATAAGTTGTCTTTCTATATACAATAAATATAAAGAAATTCCACCACAGTGCTAGATGAGTCATGTGATACCTTGAGCAGATGGAAATGAGGGTGGAAGTGTGTGTGGTTTACAGGACTGACAGCCTTCATGCTAAAAACCCCAAACCAATCCACACCAGAATTTGCCAATCATGGACTTTGTGCAGTCATTGCTGTTGAATACAAGTGGGCAGAGGAGTATTTGGTTTACACAGGCAGCACTTTTCACCCTGTGGTTAAAGCACAACCCAATGACTGCTGCCGGCACCACAACCTCAGAGAAACACTTTGAGCCAAATTCTGCCCTTTCAGAAATCCTCTTCCACAGCTGTGAAACGTTTGTGGCCATCTGTTCTGCACAAACCCAGTTGGTTGGGTACACCACCTCAGCACCCTGGCAGTCCCAGCCTGGAGAGCATTTCCATCATCATCCATTGAGAGCCATTATAAGATTTCTTTCTTTCAATCTTACACAGCTCTCACACTGACACCCCTGGCACCATCTTCTAAAATATGCCTCAAAAATGGGAATTCCTGTCCTCACACTCAATCCACACGTGATGAGTTGAGCAGAGCTCCCTGTTCCCAACGCAGAGCGTCCCCTTCCTTTTAAATCAATTTTGGAAATGCAACAACATCTGCCAAGAAAGCTGTCCTCTACCAAGGACAAATCTTAAGAGCATCTCAAATTGGCACCATTACCTTTTTATTCAAAATAAGCAAGGAACACTAAATGGCCCACAAACCAGCATCTATCCAAAGAT